AATGCCATACAAGAGCATCTAACTGCCGTGCGAAACCCTCGACCGTAGTGTCCTTAACCACTTGCTCCAGAAGTGAGTTTCAACGTTCAATAACCCAGCGCGACAAGCAAGATAGCGTCCTTACCCGGTCAGGAACCGCTCTGTAAATCTACCAAGGGTGACCTCGGTGACTATCCAGCTTGGCAAAAATAAATAATCAGGACAAGTCTGGATCGACCTTACATGTTGGGATATGGTAAGAATTAAGTCTCCTCCAATTCCAATAGTGCATTCAGTACTTGCCCAAGGTAAACAAACAAACTTTAATTATTATATGGAGAAGTTTGCACTGGTAAAGCAAGGGCTAAACTTTATCCGCTCGAAAACCCCTCTCCAGTTCCATTTTGTCCCATAGAGGACAATGTAGCAAATCTCGGATACAGTATACTAAGTGGAATCGAGCAAAAGCTGCGAACAGCTTCACAAAAGTTTCGGCCGTTAAGATATTGAATTAGTGGCGAGTAAACCAATCATCCTTAACCCTCTACAAGTAGCCGTACTCGAAGTTTCCCAGAGTGAATCAATGCGGTGTGAAAATATCTAGTTCATCCTGCTGCGTGATAACGAGGTTCACTTCCAACAACTACATAAAGCGTAGGGGACTAAGGCATTCAATGCGGACAGAACTTTTACCCTTGTTTTTAGGCATCAGCTATAAGGTTGACTAGTCACAGAGCCTATCCAAAGCAACTTGAATCGCCCCATAGCTTCAGGGATATTTGCCGTATTTCCGAACTTGAGGTCATTAGCAACCAATAGTGACGGACCTTCAAGCTCGTATAGTAGGTCCTTGACATAAGCTGCGGAACGCAACAGACCTTAAACCGAGCCCTAGGGGACGCCACTAAGGACAACTTGTCTAACCGCAGGGCCAATCCTAGCACTACGCAATGTTTTTTTCCCGCTAGCAAAGCAGACGCCAATTTAAGAGCGTTTACAAACATCCCATACGATCGCACATTTAGTGCGAGCCGTTGTGGTGGGACAGTAGCAACGGCCTTCGTGAAGTCACCGAAAAGCCTTAGATAGCGTGACGGCTTTCTACTTCCTTAGCCCAGCTTTCATCAGCGACAAGTAAATTAGTTAGGAAAGAAAATACCCTGCGGAAACCTTGCTGTGCAGCACTGAGAAGGTTAAATGTATTCAGGTGATTCCCCGCCCAATCCTTGATTCGTTTTCAAAAAACTGTACTACTACGCTTGTCAATCTGACAGGGCGGTATTTCACGGTCAGAGCGCTATCACTACCCTTAAAAACATCTGATGATTGCCGTATTCCATTCCGAAGATAAGGCACAACTTACGAGCGCTAGTGAAAACACGCATGTAAGAGGGCTACTTTGCTCAGCAGCCATTTCATGAACCAGCTTCGGATGAATTGAAGCAGGGCCAGAGCATTAAGACGGATTTAGCCCTCGCAATTATCCCGAAGACTTGTAGCTTCATTATGCGGATTTCAGTTGGGCAGGGATCTTGCAGGAATCTTGTGGCCAATTCTGCTTGAGGTAAAGAGATCTCACGAGAAAATGCGCAATTGTACTGTTCACTCAGTACAGAAGCCTTATCCTAATCAGTTTGTACACAAGTCCAGTCAGCTGGTATTATCGCTGATATAGACAAGTTTGTACCGCTGCTCCTCTTTACGTACGCAACGACCCTTGCATGTGTTGCGGCTGAATCGGCCAAATCCTTTTCGTACTAAAGACGAGCGGTCCTAAGATGTTGCTTGTATTTATTTCTAACCGCTGGATAGCTTTGATAGGTGCTGGTTGCTAAAGCCGCTTCGTAAGTTCGCCAGAAATTAGAGCGCTTCCTGAGCAGGTATTAACCGGCATGAGCTATCCTAGGAGACTGCGACTGTGTCCCTCGTTTCTTAATGGGTTGGAAGTATGGAGCAGAGATATCGGTGAGGTATGCATTAGATTTCTCCCAGACGGTCTCAATGTTGCCAGTCACGGCGATCGCGCAAAGTAGAACGGAAGTTTTGTCTCTCATTGCGTTAACGGGTGCGCTCCAACTAGTTGGCGGTCTAAGGGCATTTAGTGCGAACCCATTGAACGGAGAAGCATACATGGCCATTGGCTTCTAGAGGGCAGCCGTACGTGTTATCACTTACGAACTCGCGTGGCTACTCAAAAATGTGATTCAAGGTGGACGGAAGCTGGTTGCTGGTTAGCTCAAGCGGATCCGAACCCAAAGTGCTCACCACCGAAATGCAAACAAGTCAACTCGAAGGACTTCAGGGAGGTTAAACTCCCCCAGTAGTAGACACATATGGGCAGCCTGAGTACGAATACACGCAATAACCACCTCAAAATATTTGCAGAACTTCGATATATCACTAAACTGTAAGCTGGGCAGAGCAAGGGCAAAACTAGTCGACAGGGCTTCAGCAGTTTGATCCTGCGACTGAAAAATAAAGGTGCGCAACACCACCAGGCCACAGCTCACCTAAAGTGAGATGCCCTTACCTTAAATGCCAACGGTATGCTCCCAACTAACCAGTGCATAGCCAGTCAGTTAGCACATTAGTCTCTACGTGCCTGCCTCTCCATCGAACCCTTCAATCCTAGCTAACGTTTTATGCCCTCAACTAACTAAACTCGACAATTTCTTGGCTTTTCCAGTCTCAGTCATATAAGACTGCTGTTCTTCATGTCGCCGCGTTCAGGCTGTGAAGCGCCAGGCACCATAGAGGTACCTGGTTCGCCACCTTTTTCTCTTATTTCCACCTTCCTGCTCTGCAACCACCCCATTTGCTACGACTAGCTTTCCGACGTTACCTTACTAGTGTCCGCTCGCCACTGATTTCTTGCAATCCTACCTACTTGAGACTTTAAGGAAACGCGTCGATGTCAACACTTCTGAACGACTTGTTCGTTCCATATCCAGCACAATTCGTCCGCCTCCCTATGGTGTCCAACAACTAGGGCCTGTCCGCTTTAGGAACCATCAAAGTCTCTTCGTCTCTTCTCCATTGCAATGAGGCTGGATCTTGCCGTGGTGCGATGGTTTGTGTTCCTCAGCGATCCATTGAGCTTTGCTGGGTGACGCTTTTGCACCATCAGAGTCACTCATGTCAGGTTGGTCCGCGGTTAAACGCCAGACAAACTCAGCCTCCTGGTCCTCCAGGTTGGGGGTCGGAATGAGGGTGGCACATTATTCCTCATTCGTGCTGGAGCCTTTATTCGTGCTAGAGCCTTTATGACTGCGCAGGCTGAAAACTAACCTCAACTTCCTATATCAGCTTATCGATAATCCTCTTGCAAATGCCCTAACGCCCTTCCTATCATCGGCCAACATTTCGTAACCTCTATGTAATAGACGGCACTGCACTACCCTGCCAAATGTTCTCAGTAGTACGGGTGCAAAAGTTTACCCCTACAGATAAGCGTATGTGTGGAATAGTCTTCCATATACTGTTCGGGCATCTGATAAGGTAATCCAATTCCGTTCAGCACTTAATAGGCACCTCACAGTCAATCATGTTTTCACTATTTTGAACAGTAACAGACTTGAAGACGAACTGAAAGAAAGTGGACCTGACCACATCTAATCTTTTTGCCCGTCCGACCTCATTCAACTCCAAGGAAACGTAATGCCTGTCTTCAACTGCCAACACAATACCTTTCCCCCGGATTTCTGCCCCTCACCTCATGATTGCCAGCAGGCATTTGAGACTATACGCTAACATATCTACATCTCATAGTAGCTCACCTGTCATATTCCTTGTCCTGACTGTACCTTTTAGCATTTCGCGGAAATGCTTGCCTCTGTGCAGTGTTTAACAACCTTAATGTATGCTTAGGTTCCGCCTGTTGGATATCCTGTCCTATAACACTTTTAGCTCTCTTCAGGCAATCATCCTTATCTCATCAACTCTGCGCACAGCCACTCCTTAGTCTCTCCATTTAGACCTTCATCTATTCATAAATAAATAAATAACTAGTAATTCTCGGCTATGCGAGGTATACCCGCGAGGGCCTGAGCAAATAAGTGCAATTATACAGACATAACATGGCGATTGTAACGGTGACAATCGGAGGTTGTTCGGACGTTCCTATTTGAAACTGTACAAATAGCACAGAAATAAAAATGAAGAAAGCCCATTACCATTAGTTCGGGCACGTTCGCGTGGGTACATTCGTTCTGCCAAAAAGTGAAGTACCAATTCAGGCATGAAAAGATCCAGAACCAGAACTGATCAACTATAAAAGAGCTGGTGAAGAATACGCTCAATCGCGAGTACGCGATACGCTGAGTTCATGTGAGTGTAGCGTAAAGAATAATGGTGAATGCACAGAAAAAGACGTGGCGACGAAATATGCAGATAAGAAAGTGTCGGGGCGTATCCATCATGGTAGTATAAATCATGGTCAGCTTGTCAGTGTGAGCTTATTTGCAGTGACTTTATTCAATGGCGAGTCACCTCCGCCACGTCGCAGTGTTGTTAAACGGACATTTATGGCTTTTTATAGGGAGAACGCTTGCCAGGCGAAAACCCGCCACGTCCTGGAACACTGGCATCAACGCATTCGAACGACAAGCTGCAGTTGGCAATGCTTCTTATTGACCGATTATTGGTTCTGTTAGTCGCAGTCAGGATACACCCATAACTTTCGCTGGCTGATGCATGATGGGGCGGGGCTGTAACATCCATGAGTCCTGTCACTTCCTGACGAAATGGCACGGCTTGTACGGTAGGTAATCTACAAATCGAACATGCTGGCATGTTTTTTATTTGTCATCGGCAGAATAGCGTAATGTCTCTGATGGGTATCCAGTAATATGTTGTTGAACCTAATATTACAGGAGAATGGCCAAACGCAACCATTCAGGCCCAAGAAAGCTGCAAGTTGTCCTGAATAATGAACCGGAAATCCTCCCAGAGTAAGTTCACTTGATTGGGGACATTGGCATCCACGAACATTTGGACGGTAAAAGTAATGCGGGCAGCTCCAGATGTGGTAAGTGAAAAGAATTTCAGTAGTGTAAGGGGCCGAACCCCTTTGTTTTTGCCATAGTGAGAGTATTGTGTGTGAAGGAATTGTGTTGGGATATTTTCAAATTACGTGCATAGCACGTGCAGGAAAATCTGCCCTCCGGTTAGAGGAAATTACCGAGTTGTCACTAAATGTCAGCAACTCCGAATAAGAGTTGCGTGAAGCGGCGAGCTTAACCCAGTTGTTCAGGCCTTAGTATAGTGGCATCCATCCAAGAAAACAGATAAGTGTTTTGTCCATCCGGTAAGTACCAAGGCAGCGTAATGTTTATCTATCCATTTCCAGATAAGGGAATATTGCGCTTCGTTGAAGTGTTGACGTCAAGACAGTGGACGTATCCTCGGGTTCTGGCCACCGTTTCTGTGGAAATATTGGAGAAAAAGACAACGAACAAAGACAGCCACACAAACGGGCAACAACGATGCTTCCGGAACTCAGAGAAAAAGATCAGTCGCAAAAGTGCTTCCACTAATGAACCTCACATTATATGTATCATTATAAACTAAATATCTCATGTACATGTGTTCCATAAAAATTTAGATTAGTCGTACCATGAACAATGACGCAGCAGAGAGCTGCGCGATATCGGGGAGCGAGAGGCCGATCCGAAGGGTTTGGATTAGTCGGTGGATTGCGAATAAGTCGTTTAATTAAGTAGTAAAGACGAGTGGTGAGGATCAAGGTTAGGAATGAAATAAGCAGTAATAATAAAGCATGAGCAAGTCCAGCAAAGTTCTTGAGGGAAGCAATGCTTTGGGTATGCAGCACTTGGATTATATACGTCTCAGTAGTATGGATGAAGTCAGAAATACGGTCAAAAAAGAATAGATTAAGGCAAAGCACAGAGATGGCCATCCATTTGAAAAGCAGTCAGAGACAAAGATAAGAAAAGGACAGAGTAGGATTGAAAAAGGCTTTAATTGAAAGAGTGAAAAAGCCGACGAGGCTTTCGAGGGACTAAGCAGTCAATTAGGACAGCCGAACTAGGAAAGGTAACGTCCCATAATTTTGAGTGAATTCGGAGTGCAGGGGGCCGATCAAGCGAGGCTCGAATGCTCAGCTCGTTGGGATTGGGACTTAAAACGAAGGCAAGAAAAAGGCTAGAAAATATAAAGTGAAAAAATCTAGCAGGCACTAGATATAGGGAGAACGTATAGCTAAGTCCGCAAAGACTGTACCGCTGACGTTTCACTAACAAAAGAGTAGTTAGAGAAATTGACAAGTCAAGTGCGGCTAAATCACGGTAAGGCAGTAAAGCTAACCGTCCGATTGAAAAAGGGGAATGAAAACAGAGAGCGAGATAAGAAAAGGTTAGGGTCGGTATGAGAAAGGTTTACTGATAAGGAGTGGGGGAGCTCACGAGGCTTTCCAGGTGATGTAAACAAGACGTTGAGTCAGCCGAACGAAGGTTTGTAACGTGGAATAACTGAGTAAAACTGGAAAACAAGTGGCCGATCTAGCGAGACTAGATTAGTCGGAGCGTAGGAATGGCACGTAAACATAAAAGCATGAAAAGGTACGCAACAGTAGAGGGTGAGCAAGTCAAGCAAAATCTCCCGGTAGGGGAACAAGGGCGTTGAGTCTGCACAGCGTATACCACTTAAGTCAGAGTAGCATTGGAGCATTCAGAGAGAAAGAGGCTAGTCGGTGGGACTAGATCACCTCAGAGCAGTAAGATCAGGCACTCCAATTGAAGAAGAAATGAAAACAGGGCGCGATAATAAAAGTTAGGGTCAGGATGGGAAAGGTTTATTGACGAAAGATGGGAAAAGTCCAAGAAGATCTCCAGGTAATATGATCGGGTAGTTGAGTCAGCCGAACCAAGAGAGGTGACGTCTTAGATGTCTGGATGAATCCGGAGGGCAGGAGGCCGATAGGGTAGGGCTTGATTAGTCGGAGCGATTGGATAAGAAAAGAGCCAGCAGTAAATGGTGGCATTTGTGACATCTTCCCATTTATAAGTCCAGCTTCAACTAGCTATTCCTGCCTGTCTACTTCAGCACGCAAGAAGGGTTTGAGTCTCTGCGCGCCGCTTCGCGTTAGCGTCTGATGCTCTGACGTATTTAACAACCTTGATGTACGCTTGGGCTCCGCCCATTTGTAGTCCTTTCATCCAACATTTTTATCTCCCTTATGGCAACCATTAATATCTTATGGTGTCCGCACAGCCACTCCCTTGCCCGCTTTTTAAACGTTCATTTAACCATTACCCGCTGCAACGTCTAAGACACTTACTTTTATTGTAGTCCATTGTAGTCCATTGTAGTATGCACTCTTCATGTTTTCTGTCCACCCTTCATTCAATTTGTTAGCTCTCTTCTGGTGGCGTGGCTCCCTCCGTCAATGTACTGTATGCTTGCATTCTTCCTGTCTGCTTTCCTTCTTCATTCAACCTTGTTTAGCTCTCTTCTGACGACCTCATCTCATCGGGTCAGCGCACTGCCGCTCCTTGATAGATGCCCAGCTGTCAGTTACTTGTCTGTAACACCTAATTACCTGTAGTTCCGCTCTCTCACCGGCTTTTCTCAGCTCCAGCTACCTTAGTAATATCCCATTAGCACCTTAGCATAATTTGATTATCTGCGCGTCGCTGTCTCTTAGCCTCTATGCTCTGGACTATCTAACAGCCGTATTGTGTGCTTGCGCATCATCCGTTTGCTGTCCTTTCTTCATGAAACCTTTATTAGCCCTCTTCTGTGGAGCAAACATATCTCATGTAGTACACGCACAGCCGCTTCTTTCCAGACATTCATTTAGCTATTGCTCACTACGTCTATGACACCTACTTATACTGAAGTCCAGCTCTCTCACCGGCTTCTCCCGGCACAGACTTCCTTGCTAGATGCACAGCTGTCACCTTTTCATCTACGCTTAGTCGAGAATACACAATTTATTTATTTATTTATTTATTTAATTATAGTTCAGCTCTGTCAATGCCTTCGCCCGGCTTAGGTTTCTCTAGCTATATTTTATTAGTTCCCCAGCATGGTTTGCTTATCTGTGCGTCGCCGCGTCTTATCCTCTTATGCTCTGAATTATTTAGCAGTCGTGTTATATGCTTGCTCCCCTTCCGTTCAATGTCTTTCCATCAGGAAACCTTAGCTCTCTTATGTAGAGCAAACGTAACTCGTGTGGTCTTTGCAGATCAGCTCCTACCCTCTCCAATCTAGACATTCAATTATCCATTACAAGCTCCTTGCTAAATGTTCATCTGTCACTTACTCATCTGTGACACTTAATTAATTGTAGACCAGCTCTCACACTGACTTCTCCCGGCTCAGGCTTCCTTAGTTATAATCCTTAGCACTCTAGCGTGGTTTGGTTAGCTGCGCGTCGCTGTGCCTTATCCTCTTATGCTCTGAACTATCTAACAGCCGTATTGCATGCGTGCGCTTTATCCGTTCGCGTCCTTTCTTCATGAAAAGTTTTGTAGCTCTATTCTCTAGAGCAAACATGACTCATGTGGTCGGCGCACAGTGGCTCCATAGCCTCCCCTTCCTAAACATTCATTTATCCTTCGCTGCGTGCAACAGATGTTATACCTGCTCACGTAGGTGTCCAGGTATTTCACTGGCATTTTCCGGCACAGTATACCTTAGCACCTATACCTTAGTACCCGAACAGGACCTAGTAGCTGCGCGCACTTTGACTCATATGCTGCAAAGTCCTCAGTAAACTAATGTATACATGCATTCTGCCTGCTTAATGTTCTTCTTTCACGTAACTTTTTCGGCTTTCTCCTAGTACTCTTTCCTACCTCATCAAGTCAGGGCACAGCCGCTCCTTAGCCCCTATTCTAGACGTTCTCATATCTCTTAATTGTTGTAACGTCTTCGACTTTTTCACCTACAAGAGTCCAACTCTCGGACTAGCTTACCCTGGCCCTATCCAAAGTAGTATCATCCCAGCACCCTAGCATGAATTGCGTACCTGCGCACAGCCGTGGTTCAGCCTTATATGATGGAACTCCAGCAGTAAACTCATGTATGCTTGCATTCTTCCTCTCTGCCATCCTTTCTTCAAGCAACCTTTTCAGGTCTCTTCTGGCGACATTCCTCATCTCATCCGGTCAGTGCACAGCTGATCATTGCTTGATGCTCAGCTGTCACTTCCGCGTCGGCGACACCTAATTACCTGTAGTTCAGCTCTCACTCGCTTCTCCCGGCTCAGACTTCCTTAGCTTGATTCTTTCAGCACCCCAGCATGATTTGAGTAGCTGTGCGTCGACGCGTCTCAGCCTCTTATGCTTTGAACTATCTAATAATCTCATTGTATGCTTGCGCTTCTCCCGTCCGCTGTCCTTCTAGCACGAAACCTCACTTAGCTTTCTTCTATTGTGCAAGCATATCCATGTACGCAGCGCAAGCCGCTGTTCTGCCTCACATTTCTAGATCTTCATTTATCCCTTACTCGCTGTATAGTCTTAGACTTTTTATTTGAAATCCTCCAGCGCCCGGGCTAGCATTCCCTGGCTCTATCAAGTGTGATACTATTATCTTAGCACCCTACCTGCTGCGGCTAGGCCTCATGTTCTGATATCCTCCTCAAATAACTATTGAAAAGATTTAAAATAAAAACACAAACAAAAAAAAAAAAATTAAAAATAAGAACAAAGTGAACAAAAAAAGACAAACCAATTCGGTCAATAACAAAATGATCGCAAAAATCCAAAAAAATAACAGAAAAAAACACACAGTGGCAACAGCCGAAAAATGAAAGACAATAAAAAACTAACAAACAAAAACCAAACAGAAGCGACCAACATCACGCCAGGGCCACTAAAAACACACTCACGCTCCCATAAAAAACGAATGCAGACAAACCAAGAACGGCCCCCCCCCCGACCACAAGCCACACAAGTCTGACCCACGAGCACGCCCCCCCGCCCCCCATCTCACACCGCTGAATTGAAACCCCCCCCCTCCCACCATCCCCCCCCCTCCCCGCACCACAACACCCCCACAGCCACCCCGGGGGAGCGGGGGGGGGGGGGGGGGGGGGGGGGGGGGCGGGGGGGGGGGGGGGGGGGGGGGGGGGGGGGGGGGGGGGTGGGGGGGGGGGGGGAAGGGGCCCCCCCCAGTCCCCTTTACCGCCCGCCCCCCAAACCCCCCCCCAACAAAAACGGACCCATGCTCTCTCGAGGGCTCGGGGAACCTTCACTTTATACATTGAGTGCGCGTACACACATTACCAATGGGCACACAGCTGTACTGGCGTTACCACCCACCCATCTCCACCGTGCCTCACCCCACGCAATCGACAACAACACCGCTCGTTCCATCACTACCACAAAAACACCGATCCCGACACCCCACAACACCATCCGAGGTAAAGAACCCGCATCCCACCCGTGAACATGGGCCGGGGGGGGGGGGGGGGGGGAAAACCCGTAGCACGCCTTCCATCGCCCGGATACAGCCCGCCCTCAAACAGTAAGAGTGCAACAAAAACACAAGGAATAAATAAAAATTCTCTATGGGGGGGGGGGGGGGGGGGTGGGGGGGGGGGGGTGAAAAAATAGTCAAGATATAAAATAAAAAATAGTGGGGTCTCTTAAAATAAATAAATTAAACATATAGTAAAATTTAATAAGGGGAGGAAAAAACCAAATATTAGTAAGTTTTAAAAAGGGGCTTAGAGTTAACAGTAGGTTATTAATAAAAAGGGATGGGGGGGGGAGGGGGGGGGGTATTTGAAAATAGTTAATTTATTAAATAAAAAGAGAACAATATAATAAAAAAAGTGTGTGTATAAATAAAGTTAAAATTATAATAGTAAGGGGGGGGGGAGGGGAAATAATAATAATTGGGGGGGGGGTTGAAGGGTTAATATATGGGAGGGTAAAAAGGGGGAAATTGAATAATTATGTAATATAGAAAATAGATTTTAGATAGGGTAATTTTTTTTATATGTAATTTTATGGGGGTATTTAATGGAGGTGAGGAGTTGTAATATATCTAATAAAAAAGAGGGGGGGAACACAGGGATGTAGTTACATAAACACATAACAAAAAAAAAATAGAAAAACAAAAAGGAAAAACAAACTTACTGCTGGAATGAGGGGGTGGTATTAGGTAGCAGACATTAAAAAAGGTTGAGGGAGTGTAGATTTTTTTAAATTATAATAAAAAAACAAAATCAAATAAAAAAAATATATGTTGGGGGGGGGGTGAAATTTATAAATTAAAATATATTGAGAAGAAAAAAACAGAATCACAGAAACAAACCCCGTGTCCTCAATCCACCACCCCATGCACACCCCCCACCCTCCACCAACCCAACGCACGGAATTACCCCGCCTCCGGCTATAATCCAAAAACAACTAAACACAAAACAAAGTAGCTTCACCCTCTCCCAAAAACCACCCCCCACACCCCCCCCCTTACACCCTCCCACCCCTCCCGACCCCTTCCACACACGTCATAGACACCCCCCACCCCCTGTCACCCGGACCCCCCCCCCCCCGTTGGCCCCCCCCCGGCCCCCCCCCACTTGAAGTTTCACCACCCGAAAGCCGGTCTTCCCGGACGGGACCCCCCCCCCACCCCCCCCACCCCCCCCACCCC